CTTTTTCACTCATGAAACTGCTCTCATGGCTCCGCCCCCTTCCATGGTTGCGATTGATCGAAACCTATAACAAAAAAATATCTGTAACGATTTTATAATATTTGATGGAGTCAAATTTCTCTGTGACATATGAGTGTGGGAGTTAAGGGACCTTAGACATTATAAAATAATATTGTGGATCTCTTCCATTACTAAAAATTGAAGAGGGATCTTAGACTAATTTTCCCAAATAAATAAACAAGAGAAGAAACCCAAATTAATATGTTGAAAATTAAAGAACTTTAATGTCTTATATAGACATTGTCGTGTAATTTTAGGGAGAGGCTCCTCTCTAGTTAGGATACCCAACTGAAGGGTGTTGTTGGGCCTCCGTAGGCTCACAACGGCGCCCGCATCGATGATCCGAACTGTTCAATATATAAAACTCATTGAATATTTCATCCATGCAAAAAATAACATTGATCGAATATCGATAATCACTTGATCAGATCACATTTGTATAAATAATTTATTTTAAAAATTATACTTACCGTTGACACAAATATGATCTGATTAAGTGGTTATCGATATCCGATTAACGAGATTTTTGCTAGGATAAAATATTCAACGAGTCCTACATATTGAACAGTTCAAATTATCAATGTGAGCTCCATGATGGGCCCATGGAAACTCAACAACACCCTCCAATCTGATTTAGATTAAAGAGAAGCTATGCCCTAATTTTATTAGGGACACAACGTTTTAAAAAAATAATAATTATTATTATTTGTTTATGTCAAATATATGCCACTTATTATATTTTTTTTAATTGTCCCAAGAGATCCGCATAATTTACTCAAAAACAGGAATCAAATTTCAAACAAAATTCGTGTATAACACGGGTAGAAAATTACACAAGCAAGTAGAGACAGGCATTATCCTAGAAACTGCATAGTTGGAAAAAGTCTTGTTGCCATGACTTCTTGTTAATCAATGGGTCAACATTAAAAGAAAAATTAATAAAAATTTAAAATATTAGTCTTTTTTTTTTTTTTGATCATAGATTTAAAAGATTAGTCTGTGATATGCATCTCTGCATCATGTATGGTCGACTTATGATTTAGGGTTGACTTTGACTTAGGATTGGTTTGAGAAATAGTTTTTTAATGATTTTTAAATTTTTTAATTGAAATATGAGGTGAAAAAAATTAAAATATTTGTGAATGTTTTTTTAATTTTTTTTTTAAATGTGTAAAAAGTAAAAAGAATGAGAGTGAATCTTTAATTCTTTATAAGATTTTTTAATCTTTTAGTAATTTATTGACTAATTCAACCTATTACCACATAGCCTTTTTATTTAATTTTTTTTTTTTTTTTTTGGGTACAGTTGTTATGTGATGTTTGATTTTTAATTTTTTTTGTTTATTATTATATGTGATTAAAGTACAAATCAAAATCAAACTACATTAATTGGAGGGTAACCTATCACATTTAGCTTAAACTTAATTTTTAACTTAGCAAAGTGTCAACAATGAGTGAAATCTTACATCATGCATCTTTCCAAGGTGCAAAATCACAAAATTTCTCAAATTAGTATTTGTGGGAGACTTACGTATAGGTCCTCATATGTGAATTTATTATCCAATAGGTTATGTGATAATTAATGACATTTTTCATCAAACATTATTAAAAAAAGTCACTAATTGTTAATTTTTAGCAATAGTTTAAAATTTTTGTTACAAAAAATGTCACTAATTATAAGTTTTAGTAACAGTTTAAAAAATCTGTTACAAAAAAAGTCATTAATTTTTAACTTTTTGCGATAGTTTGAAAAATTCGTCACAGAAAAACGTCACTAGTTACAAGTTTTAGTCACAATTTACAAAAAATCGTGATTAAAAAAAAAGTCGCTAATTGTCCATTTTTAGCGACATATGTAAAAAAATTGTCACAAAAATTTACTTTTAGCGACGATTTTATTAAGACTTATTTTCAATAAGACGGGTCTCGTTTGGAAACAGACTGTTTTAGTAACTTTTTGACTTTTTGGCTAAAATATGAGATAAAAAAAATTAGTATGTTTGGGATGATTTTTTTTATTTTTTACAAAAAAAATGTGTAAAAAGTAGAGAGAAAATGAAATCTTTGACTTACTGGTATAGATTGTTGGCTTTTTGATTTTTTTAGTGATTTTTTGACTTTTAGGCTAAAAATTGATGTTGCCATAGAAATTAAGTCTAACTATTATGACTTATTAGTAGTTTACCCTTAGTATTTTACATTTACAAAATAGCATAGTTTGAACAGAGTGGAATAATTTTTATCATGTGATTTGTCAAACTCAAAGAAAATAATAACAAAAAAGTTAAATGTTCTCTCTGTGCAGGTGCCATGGACAATAGAAAGAATAATGTTTGAAAGTTTTAATTTGAGAACTCTAATGCATCTCTAATGATATAGAGAATAATATTTGAGAGCTCTAATGTAGCTCTCATGATGTGGAGAGCGCCCATGTGAAGGTGGGGTCCACACTCCCCCCTCTCTCTTTCTCTCTCCTACCTCACTAGAGCTCCATTTAAAACTCTAGTATTAGAGTTAGGTATCATTACTGCAAATTGTAGAGTTAAAAAAAAAAAATTTGGTACCATGACTTCTATAACGTCATTCACACACTCTTTTTGTAGTGGTAAACTATCATTACTCCATAGAAATTGTAGAGTGAAAAAAATATATATATTTGATGCCATGACTTCTATAACGTTGTTCACACTCTGTTTTTAGTGGTAAACTATCATTACTGCCATCGAAATTGTAGAGTAGAAAAAAAAAAAAAAAAATGCCATGACTTCTATAACGTAAAAAAAAAAAAAAAAAAAAAATTGATGCCATGACTTCTATAACGTTGTTCACACTCTCATTTTAGTGGTAAACTATCATTACTGCCATAGAAATTGTAGAGTAGAAAAAAAAAAAAAATGATGCCATGACTTCTATAACGTTGTTCACACACTTTTTTCAGTGGTAAACTATCATTACTGCCTTAGTGGTAAACAATATATATATATATAATATGTTTAGTACAATTTAGAGTAACTTCACTTAGCCATTGAATGTTCATCATTTTTTTTTTTTGTGTTTAAAATTTTAACTTTTGAGGATTTTTGGTGAAGGTTTTAAATAGTTTTGTGATTTGTATATTTTTATGTAATATTTAATTTTGTGTATCTTTATGCAATTTTAATGCATTTTTATCTTCTACAATTGGCAATGATTTTTTATTTATTTATAAGACCATCTCCAACGGTTCACCAAATCTGGCATCAAATTTGAAATTTGGTGAAAAATGCACTTTTTGAAGCTCCAACGGTTTCACCAAACTGGTATCAAATTGAGAATTGAACAAAAAAATCATCAAATTGAGAACATGATACAGATTTCAGCAAATTACTATTTGTGACCGTTGGAGGAGAGGAACCGGTCAACCAGCCGGTTGCCCGACCGGTTGACCAACCGGTCGACCACTAAAAGGTTCAAACAGTTCAAATGGGTAGGTTCAAACAATTCAAAATATATATATATATATATATTTTTGCCTTACCGGTTGACCACTAAAAGGTTCAAATAGGTAGGTTCAAACAATTCCAAAAAAAAAAAAAAAATTTGCCTTACCGGTCGACCAACCGGTTGTCCTTGGAGCAGATTTGATAAAAATCAACCATTGGAGCATTCTGTATCAAATTGAGAAAACAGTCATTTTTTTACTCAGATTTGATGAAAAATTAGGTGAACCGTTGGAGATGCTCTAAGAAACTTGAATAATTGAGTTTTTTATTATGTTTTATTTGTGGGTTAACAGTAGAATTATTATTATTATTTATCAAAATAAAACATAATTCTCAATTATATCATACTTATTCTTGTTTAACTACATTAATTAATTGTTTGTTTGTTTGTTTGTTTGTTTGTTTAATTGTGTTAAAGCATATTTAGAATATATTATTTTTCATATTTGTTATATTTTCATATTTTTGTAAGTTTTCGTATTTTTATGATTTCTTGATTAACATTCCATATAAATCATATATATAAACCACCGATTTATGCTTTTTGCCTTGGAATGATATATGTCACGCGGCATACACACAGAAGGGTATAATTGACCACTCAACGTTACCAATAAATCTCAAATGTTAAACTTATGAACCAATTGGTCCCAATTTTTTTCTAATAAACCGTTTAATCCTTGGATATTTTGAGGGACCTTAATGCCTTCATTTAGATGTTATTAGATGCATGCTCTTTATAAGGGTGTGTCACGTGCCACACACAATATGTCATGTGACACACACAATGGGTGCCACACATCAACAAAATACACCAAGGCTCTTTATGTTGGTGTGTCACGTGACACACAATATGTCACGTGACACGCACAATGGGTGTCACACATCAACAAAATACACTAAGGCTCTTTATACTTTTAGCCTTGGAGTGTCACGTGACACACAAAATGGGTGTCACGTGACACACACAATGGGTGTCACACATCAACAAAGTACACTAAGGCTCTTTATGCTTTTTGCCTTGGAATGATGTATGTCACGTGACACACACACGGAAGGGTATAATTGACCACTCAACGTTACTAAACAAAAGAAATAGGATCAACTGGTAAGATATTTTCCCACTAATAGGACTAATCAGAACAATAGAAATAACCTTAGGACCAATCAGTAAAACTATTTGTGAGATAGGATTTATTGATAAATATCCCAATAAAAAAATGTAATTAATTCTAATTTTTATTTTAACAAAGGTGTCAACCACGAGTGAAATAGCACATCATACATCTTTTGGAAGGTGCAAATGGTATTTTACAAAAAAATGAAAAAAGGACACTCCCTTGGGAGACATTATAACATCTATAGGCCCTGGTCCGGGGTGATCGATTTCCTGCGAGATTTAACTTAATTTATAAGAAGGGACATCACTAGAACACACAAATAGACCTCACCTACTTGCCACACGAGGTAAAATGTCGATTGGAGTACAACATAATGAGCCAAAGCAAATTAACACTCCCTCGGCCGCTGCTCTGCTGGGTGGAGGGGAGATGTGTAATCCACTAGACCACCACCCAAGTGGAGTGGACCATAGAAATTGTAGAGTTGGAAAACGTCTTGCCATGACTTTTATGGGACAAGCTCCTCCATATCTTTATTGGATTCGATAAACATAAACATAGACATGAGACATAGACCACCAATGGGTCTATCTTGCTCTATTTGTTATCATTTTGGTGCTGTTATCATCTTTTTCATAGCCTCTGTACCCTTCTTCAACAATGCCCAATTTCCACCTCCAATGGCGAACTTATCTACTATTTGGATCAACAAACCCTCAACTGACTATAGTTTCAAAACTTTTTTCCCTTATCTCAACCCCGTCCTCGAAGCATCATCATCCAGTTACTCCCGAATGATCTGTGGCTTCTATTGCCCTTCTACTCCTCAACAAACTCAGCAATCGTCATGCCTCTTCGGTGTTGTAATCTTCGGTGACTCCAGGGGCCCTATCCCGCAACTGGTTTGGTCAGCTAATCGGAACCGTCCTGTTCAAATTAACGCCACCTTACAACTCACTGGAGATGGAGATTTGATATTGCATGACTACGATGGCACTTTCGTATGGTCTACCAATACCTCTGGAAAGTTCGTCTTCGGCTTGAATTTCACCGAATTGGGAAACTTGGTGCTGTTTGATCGAAACAATTCAACAGTTTGGCAGTCATTTGATCACCCAACTGACTCCTTACTTGTTGGCCAGGCTTTGGGTCCTGGCCAGAAGCTCACCTCCAGCACATCCGCATCGAACTGGACTCCAGGTTTGTATTCTCTTAAGGTTCATGAGCTGGATAACGAGGGCTCTTACAGTCTGGTGGCTTATGTAGAATCCAATCCCCCCTTGCCCTATTTTGAGTCATATACAGATGTGAAATCTTACAAATTCGAGAATGAAAGCTTTACTTTACAGAAAATCCCTTTTGCATCATCATCATCAGCTCAGTTCATAAGGTTGGATCCTGATGGGCATTTGAAGGCTTATGAGTGGATGGAATGGTATTGGAATGCGGCGGCTGATCTGCTGACATCAAGCATGGGTGAGTGTGGGTATCCCATGGCGTGTGGCAATTATGGCATCTGTTCTCCAAATGGACAGTGCGGTTGTTTTGAGGAAGGCGCCGGCAACAGCACTTTCAGGCAAATAAATTATAAGCAACCCGGCCTTGGATGTCCCCTTGTTACACCCATTTCTTGTAACAATTCTCAATATCACACCCTTTTGGAGCTTAGCAATACTAGTTACTTCTACTATAACTTTTTAAACACATACGCATCCGAAATCATTTACTTTGATGAAAAAATAGCATTAGAGGATTGCAAGACGAGTTGCTTGAAAAACTGTTCATGCAAAGGTACTTTGTTTACATATGGTTTGGGGCTTAATTCAGTGAATGGTTGCTTATTATTGTATGAAGTCTTTTCTCTTGTCAATAATGACGGAGGGCTTTATAACATCACTGTGTTTCTGAAAGTGCAGAAATCTCCGACTGCAGAGTATCCTACTCCTTCACCAACATATTCTCCTCAAAAGCAATCAAGGCATGTCAAAATCATATTGGGATCCAGTCTCGGAGCTTTCTTTAGTGTATTATTTGTGGTTGCCTCCTACTTTTTTCTTTTTAGAAATAAAGGAGAATCTGATGAACTTGATGAGTTCTTCGTCGATCAAGTACCAGGGATGCCTACTAGATTTTCTTACAAAGAATTGAGAGTCATGACAAGCAATTTCGATAATAAGCTTGGCGAAGGAGGATTTGGGTCAGTGTTTCAAGGGACATTACGCGATGGCACCAAAATAGCGGCGAAGCGGCTCAATGGTTTTGGTCAGGTTAAGAAGTCATTCTTAGTTGAAGTTGAGACAATAGGCAGCATTCACCATGTCAATTTGGTGAGATTAATTGGATTTTGTGCTGAAAAATCATATAGGCTTCTAGTTTATGAGTACATGTCCAATGGATCCTTGGATACATGGATCTTCCAAAGGCACCAGGAGCAAACTCTTGGGTGGCAATCCAGAAAGAAGATCATTATGGATATAGCCAAGGGCCTAACCTATCTTCATGAGGAATGTAGGCAAAAGATATTTCACTTGGATATCAAACCCCAAAACATCCTCTTAGATGAAGACTTCAATGCGAAAATTTCTGATTTTGGATTGTCCAAACTAATTGATAAGGACCAAAGCCAAGTTGTAACAATGATGAGGGGAACACCAGGCTATTTGGCTCCGGAATGGTTGAGCTCAATTATCACTGAGAAAGTAGATGTTTATAGTTTTGGTGTCGTGGTCTTGGAAATGTTGTGTGGGCGCAAAAATTTGGATAGGTCTCAGCCTGAGGAAGATATGCATCTCTTAGATTTGTTTAAGAGGAAAGCAGAAGAGGAACGACTTTTGGATATCGTTGATAAATACAATGATGACATGCAAACACATAAAGTAGAAGTCGTGGAGATGATGAGGGTTGCCGTGTGGTGTCTACAAAGTGATTTTTCCAGGAGGCCTCCCATGTCAGTGGTGGTTAAGGTCTTGGAGGGTTCTGTAGATGTTGAAAACAATTTGGATTATAACTTTACAACACCTGTGGTACCAAGAGCAATTACAGTTGCTGGTCAACAAAGAGATGCCATTGGTGCTGCTACTCCATTATTTGCATCGGTTTTATCAGGACCTAGGTAACGAAAGTAGACTCCAACAATCAAATTACAGCTGATTGTTTAAAGTTTTTGTATTCCCTTTCTTATGTAGTGAATTATAATATAAGATTTTTATTTGTGCAAATCACACTCCATGGTACCAGGATTAATAGTGTTTTAAGTAGTGTCAATAAAATTTCAACTCTCTCAATAACATTTGCGCTTTTTATTTCTTTAAGTTCTTCCATCATCATTTCCATAGAACATACAAAACCACTGGAATGTGGTGAGCAAGATTAGATTTCCCGTAGCTTTAATTTAAACATTCTCAAGTTCTGTAATGAAGGGGAAGAAGATAGATACTTTGTGAGAGTATGTGAGTTTTCTCATGATTCAAGTAAAACAAGAGAACATATGTATAATGGGATATGATTCAAACTTTGTTGTCCAAAATATGTGTCAATGAATAGTAAATTAAGTTTGAAGAAGGAACAAAGCTGGCTTATATTTTGGACAAATTTATTTCCATTTTATGACTAATTAATTTGGTTGATGGGATATGTTCTTGAGTTGCTAGGAAAGAAAACATTTTGTACATCCCTTAGTCTGCAGAATGTACATTTCCACACAAACAAGGGCCCCCCCCCCCCTCTCTATTTTGAGCTTGACTGGGAAAACAAAAAGAGTGGGACACGATGAACAAAAAGATTCACATTCTACTTGCCATGTTTTTCCCCATTTGCTTTCTGGAACCTACTGATCTTTCTTTCTTTTTAAGAGGGGTGGAGAACTTCTGTCTACCCCTTTCCATTTTCAATTCCTTCTAGCAGATATGGTATGATAGCGTGGCAAGTGTGGACTGCAGTTACTCAAAGGTGGCTAACAGCAATACAAGCAAGCTATTTTAAACAGACAAATAAATGATAAGCATCATAATCTTGGATGTTCTGAAATTATTCCCTTGTTCTGCGAAGCTTCAAAACATCACAAGCTCATAGAGCTAAAGAATGTTACCTACTTCATTGTTGAGGCTAACATGTCAAATACTATGAATACACAGACATGAAGAGTAGTTGAATACTATCATATCATATCTACTGCAGAGCTGCTCTATTTTGTTCAAGTGAAGTGTCCAATAAAAATTCAAGTGGAAAATGTTCTTATTAGGTTTTATTCTTGGCAATCCCGTTTAACAAAACTCCTTTGAGTTGTAATTTTATTCGTTTTTTTATTTCAGTAAGGCTATGAGTTGTTAGATGCGAATCCAACCCGAATCGTACTTTGCAGAGAAGTTTGTGGTGTTTAATTCTTTCAAGATTGCCACTTCGCTGATTATGACGAGGATCGAGCTGCCCGATCAGCTCGCAGGGGTCCAGGGGGCAGCACCCCTTAGCGGGTTCGGGGCAGCACCACGGCGGGGTCAAGGAGCAGCGCCCCTGAAGCAAAATGCAAAAATGCATTCAAAATTACCTGTCCGCTCGAGCGGACATTGCCCCGCTCGAGCGGAGAATCCTTGGTTCCATAAGTTTGATCGCCTGCAAAAATACTGCGATATGTTTTTTCCCGCTCGAGCGGAACTTTCCGCGCTCGAGCATCGGTCCGCTCGAGCTGCCATTTTGACGCTCGAGCGGAGATCGCGGGACAGTTTTCTATAAATACGTGATTCAGTCATATTTTAGGATTACTTCTCCAGATCTTCTTTTTGGATATTAAGGTTTATATCTGGGGATATTTCGCTAAGTTTTCTTTGATGTTTTGATTGAGTATTCAACTCATGAGTTAAGAAGAATACATCAAAGGTTTATTTGTTCATTCTATACAAAAGAGAGAGTTGTTCTTTGATGGATTCTGAAGAATTCGAGCCTGAAACTTTGGTGGATTCTGGAGTGGCTCATCGTCAAGACAATTCCGAGGTGAAGACGGGGTTGGAAGAGGCACATAGAGGTTGGTTCAATTCGGGCGTGGATTCGCTAGGTAATTGAGAGTATACCTGTGTAATTCCTTTATATCTTCTTAGTGGATTGTTTTGTGGCTGTTGCCCGTGGTTTTTTATCACAATTGGAGACGTCCAATTGTGGTTTTTCCACGTAAAATCGTTGTGTCGATTTGTCTTGATTGTTTGATTGGGATTGTTGTTTACTGCTTAAAATTGATACATAATCACAAATCAACATCTAGGGAATTTCTAGATTTTTCAGCTCTCTATATATTAACAGAGATCATCTCAATAAAGGTTAATATAAAGTGCAGAGGTTAAGTCAATAATCAGATTTGTAATCAAACTGGTATCCAGCCTTAGAGCGTTTTTCTGGTCTCTTTATTATAATTTCCATCTGTGTTTTCCTTTTTAATGTAGAAAAGAGGAACTGATGAAACCGAGGAGGATTATTTAGATCAAGAAGTGCTGGGAATGCCCGTGAGATTCTCTTACTATGAGCTCAAAGTCACTGACTAATATAAAACTTCAAAAGGAAACTTTGGCAAGGATGATATTGGTCTTTGAAGGAACTCTCTTCTAAGCAATGGCAAAACCAAAGTTGCAGTGAAGCATCTTGGTGGCTTAGGCCATGTCAAGAAGTCTTTTTCTAGGCTGAACAAGTCAAGCTAATAGGCAGCACTCGCCATCTGAACTTGGTGAGATTGGTGGAACATTGTGTCAAGAAATCACAGACTTTTAGTTTATGAATGGAACATTGTGGAACATTGTAAGAGTATTTGGTGCAGTTTTTATTTACAACTTATGAGACAAATAATTTTTTCAACAAAAAAAATAAAAAAAACTCATTATTGAAATGCAAGGGGAAGGTGTCGCTGTATTGGAAATCCTTTGTGGATGGAAAAATTTAGAGGGTGTACTTGTCAATTCCACCAGTACCAAGAACACTAGAAGCTGTTGGCCACTGCTCTCTACTACTCCATCCATTGCTGTCATCTGTGCTTTGTTACAAGATGTTGGGGGAAATTTTATACAATAAACCATCAATATTACTATAAATACGTAAATCAAAAGTAAAGTAAATAAATCTTGGCTTGTCATTATGCGAGATACGTAATTGCTTTTTTAAAGTTGTTATTACCTATCCATGCGAATGTATTAATAGATAATGGACAACTCCAAGATACAAACCAAATTACTATTAATACTTATGACGTTTGCGCAGATAGAAAAAGGTTAACAAACCGTTTATGATCAGAAATATATATGAAAATAATAAATAAAAAAACAAGAGAAGAAACTCAAATTAAAATATTGAAATTTAATGTCTTAAATAGACATTGTAGTGTATTTTTATTAGGGACGCATCCCTTAGTTTTAAAATAATACATTTATTTGTTTAATTTTGAAACTCTTAAATATTTTCAATACAAGAAACTTAAAATTTTAGAAACAATTACATGAACTTTATCATTGAAATAAATTGATGATGATTAGTTTTGAATGACGCTGCTTCCCCAATGCGTATTAGCCACACACACACACACACACACACAAGGAAAAGGTAAATTACACTATATCTCTGAGAATTAGAGAAAATAAAACAAGTTTTATATTTTTTGCATATTATACCAACTTCCCTTTTAATATGGGTAAAGGGACCAGAATAATGGAGATGATATAAAGATGTAATGATAAATAAAATAAAATTTGCATTTCAGTGTAAAAGAGAAAGAAACGTCATTTTTTTTTTCTATTTATATGACTAATGTATTGTTGACAAAAAAAAAAGTACGAAGTGTTATATTAACTAAAATTTTAGAAGTGTCCAATACAATTATGTCAAATTTATATGATTTATTATATTATTTTCAAATGTCATGAGAAATTGTTTATTCGCAATTGGCTAAAATTTTAAAAAAGTCAAAAAAACAAATATAAAAACTCAACCCATTATCTCTATTTTTGAACATGTCATTTTGTAAAAAGTTAAAAAATTATTAAAAAAATCAATTCCCAAATAAATCCTTCTTATTAAAAAAAATCAAATTTGAAACAAAATTCATGTATGACACAGGTAGAAAATTAGTACAAGCAAGTAGCCTATAGGACCACCGGGGTGGTGGTGGTGGCATGAAAAGGGGTTGGACTTCCACACAAGTGAGCATAGCTCGATTCTCGGGGGCACAATTAGTGACCCATTTATTAGGTGAAGCTAACAGTGCTGTACTTCGCTTGTGACTCTACCTCATGTGTTGGGGGTTGAAGAAGAATAAAATAATTGAATAGCTTAGTCTAGAGGACTATACCTCATGTGTTGGGGGTTGAAGAAGAATAAAAGAATTGAATAGCTTAGTCTAGAATGGAAAGTAGCCTCTGTATATATACTGGTATAGTATATTTTACTTTTGTTTTCATTTTATCTTTTTCATTAAAATATGAACAAAAAAGTTCATAAATAATTTTAATTTTTCAAATTAAATGATTTTTCATAAACAAAATTATAAGTATAAGATTAATAATTTTTACAATTAAAATTTTAAATTTTAATTAAGTTAAAATTATTTATAAAATTGTTATTCATATTACATAGGAAGGGTAAATTTAGGACAAGACACATCATCATGGAGTAGTGGATTTTTTGAAAACTTTTTATCGCAAATAGAATTAATTGTCCATATTAAAATTTGATAAGACTCATTAGTAATCTTAAGAGCAATATAAGACTTATTGGTTATTTTCTCCCAAAAAAAATCATTTGAAATTTTTATTTTTTGTTTGTTTTTCAAAACAAGTAGTTTGTTTCAGTTTTAAAATTTTTTATATTAATAAAAGTCGAACTATAACTAAAATTTTATATTAATTTTTTTATACATACTCATTTTGTAATAAAAATTAAGAGGTGTGACATTTATAGAATAACTTTGACTTTTTTCTTCACTTATTTTTAATATGAAATTCTATAATTTTTTATAAAATATTTTAAAATTTCATGTTAATCATTCATCTACACCAAATCGACAATATCAAATCATGGCATGTTCCTTGTTTGTTTGGGAACCTAACCAACAAAACTAAAAGATTTGATTTGGTGTTAAATTTTAAAAAATAATAATAATATTTTACATCCCAAATTATCATTCAAAAATCAATTTTACCTTTATTCTTTTAGGAAAAAACTATGCATAAGAAAATGACATAATTCTATA